TGTATCCTTCAAGAAAATGTTGAGGATTGCATATGTGCTAACATAAAAGGAAACTTCAGAACTCTGTTTACGTTTTATGCTTTCTGTTACCTGTCAGACTTGTAATTATGTCCTAACCTTTTAATAGGAAATCCTGGAAGGAAGCGGCTACTGCCAGTGGTGGGGGAGGGTAGCTCCGTAAACAGGTTGGGCTGGTGTGACCACACTGAGAGGAAGAACTTTCAGACCTGCTCACATGTAGTGCACAGTGATCCAGTGGTCTACCTTTTATATCTGTCCTCTAGCACCAGAGTTAGTATGAGAAACAAGTATCTGTAATACTTCTCTATGTATATCCATACCTCACTGTAAAAATGTGGCTTTGGGGGACTAAAGATAGGTGTTGTGTGGAACGAGTTCTGTCTCTAAAAGTAGAACTTCTGAACTGAACCTTTTCCAAAGCAGCCAGAGAAAATATACATGAGCGCTGATAAAGATTCAGTAAACGGATCGTTGCTTTTTGCTTTTTGATAGACAGAAGGTGCTAGTTGAGACCTTTGCCCACAGGTTAGCAACAAGCATGGTACCCGCTTCTGATGATTCTCTGAGGAGTCAGGCTGACCCTAACCAGAAGGAAGGATTATAAAACACTCACGTAGCACCAGGCTAATAGAAAGTCAAAGAGCAAGTTTGGCCTAAATTGTTTCATTTTATTCCACTTTCTGGGGAAGCATTAATTTGCTTCGTTCTTTCTTTCACCAGACCTTCTCTGAGCGGCTGCTGGGAAATTTCTCATTAGCAGTTCCGATCTTTGTTGCCCTCTCCTGTTTTGGCTCCATGAACGGTGGTGTGTTCGCTGTCTCCAGGTGAGCGAGTTCACGTATTTTCAGAAACACATTTCTGTTTTTGAGATTGGATGTGATAAGGATAACTTTTAAAGCAAAAAGCAATAATGCCTCTAAACCTGTTGTTTTTAAAGGGATATGCAAGTTTGTCATGGATTCAAGAGCAGCGTGTTTGATTCTGGCCAGTAGAGGGCGCTGCGTGCCTACTCATCGCCTGCTCTGAGCCAGGCATGTGGCACTTTCTATAGTACAACAGAGCCTAACAACAGCCTTTCATTTCTAGTGATAAAGCCTTTGGTTTTCCGAAGGTACCATAAAAAAGAAGAGTGAAGTAGAAAACAGAAATCATCATTGCACCATCTGTACCTCTTTTGCTTTGTTGGATGCTACAGAATCTCTTTTCATTAAGATTTAAATCCAATCTGATAACTACCGATTCTACATGTATATACACGTGTGTCCATATGCATGTGTGTTGGATGGATTGACACTAGAAATCTAGAACTGAATTTGCCAACAGTTGCTCACTGTTGTGCGAAGAGCTGTGCAGTCAGATATCGTTACTGTTTTTCCTCAAAGCATAATGATAATGAGGCTTGTTGGCAGATACTATACATCTTGACTTCAGAATTCTTACGACAAAGCCAGGCATATCTGCAAAGTACAATCCAAGTGACCAGATAAGAAATGCCAAGATGTCTGGTCTGAGAAATATGCAAATTTCTCCTGAGATTTTTGGGATAGTTTTCCCTTTCAGAGAATCGACTGTCCAGTCAACTCCACCCACATTCTTCTCGCTTCAGGTTATTCTATGTTGCATCTCGAGAGGGCCATCTTCCTGAAATCCTCTCCATGATCCATGTCCGGAAGCACACTCCTCTGCCAGCTGTTATTGTTTTGGTAATGATATTAACAAATATATCTAGATATAACCTCAAAGCACAGGTTAGAAAAGGGGATTCACATAGACTACTAGAGCCTTGCCGCCTCCCCTTCGCTCATTGCTCAGGTGGCTTTCGGCATACTATGTTTGAGAGGCCAGAAATTTTGTCATTGGTTCCTTTGACTAAGTGTTTCTGATGAGCATGACCCTTGGCACCTCTGTTTGACCTTTCCAGAAATGTATAAGATGTAAGGAGAGAAAAGAACTGTGGTCCCTCTGTCAGAGAACTTCAAAGAAAAGCCAAAGGGAAAAGTTCCAAGAAAACAGTCTCAACTATTTCAAGTCCAGTTAAAACTAGACTGTGCAAAAATACTCTGATATCTCATACTAGCTCCCTTTACAATGAAATACACACAAAATAATTCAAAGAATTGATGAAATCCTGAACAGTGAAATGATTCTCCAATTATAAGTGAGACATTTGAAAGCAAACCTTACAGGAAAGAAAGAAAAAAATCCCCAAATGTAAATTGAAGCCACATAATTCTCTATGCAGGGAACAATATTTGTGAAATGAGGGCTACAAAAGACTGTAAAAGGTGCAAAATCTTCAAATATCCATGTGCAATGTTTAGTCATTTTTACTTCTGATTTTTGTAACATTTTTCCCAGCTGAAACATGCTGACAGGAGCACCCTAGGATGCACTGAGCATTTTCCCCCTCCATGTATTTAATTTGTTTCAAAATGTTTCCTTGAAATTTCTTTTAAAGTACGCACACACTCTGGAGTTTGTTAGCATCACTTGTGGGAACAGAATGTATTATTCCATGAAAAGGGTTTTCATCTGGAAGCTCTGCTATCAGTCATGCCGTCCTTGGCACAGGCAGCTGCAGAGGCTTGGGCTGCTGTTCTCTGAGCTTCATTCTTAACCATGTCTTGAGGGTCACAAGGCAGCTAGCACAAGGGGACAGTCAGTGCAGAGCAGGAAAAGGTGAGTGTTTTGCATTCAGAAGCCAACACATGGCTCTTTCATAGGTTTAGGTTCTAAGAGCAGCTCAAAAAGCACTTGAAGATATTCCTTTGAATTTCCAGTGGGGTGTGCATTTAGTATTTATGACTGGTTACTTACTAATTATCTATTCAACATGGATTTTTAAATGATTGAATGTTATGTCTTTTATTCTTTGAAATATTGTTGGGGACAAGGTGATAGTTTAGTTGGTAAAGCACTTGCCTTGCAAGCATGAGAACCTGAGTTTCGTTCCCAGGACGAAAAAAGCAGTGTGGTGACTTGTGCTTGAGATCCCTGTGCAAGGGACGAGGGACAGGAGGATCCCTGGAGATCCTTGGCCCATCAGCCTCGCCTACTTGACCAGTAGTAGATCAGTGAGAGACCCTGTCTGAAAGCACCTGAGGAACAACAGGATAAGGAAAAACATCTGAGGCTGACTTCTGACCTTAAACATGCATACATGCACATATATGTGCAAGACTGACTTCTGGCCTTAAATATGCATGCATGTACATATATGTGCATTGACACCATGTGTACCTGTACATGGAGAAACACATACACAAGAAACAAAAAAACAACAATGAAAAAGGAAGCACATGGTTTTCTCCCCAGTGCTAAAGAAACTATTAAACTAACAAAAAAATACATCCACGTAAAAGGTCACCATAAAGGATGATGATGATGGCACTCTCCCTCTGTGACTGCTGGAAAGGGAGCATAAGAGTAGATGTGGAAAAGATGTTAGTGGGATCTAGGTTTTGATCCTGATGATAGTTTTGATATAGTCAATTTGAAGATAACAGTAGTAATGTGCAGTAATGTTATTGTTTGATATCACCTATGTCCCCCCTAAATATTTCATCTGGTTTGTGTCCCTCCCCCCAGCATCCTTTGACAATGATAATGCTCTTCTCTGGAGACCTCTACAGTCTTCTGAATTTCCTCAGTTTTGCCAGGTGGCTTTTTATTGGGCTGGCAGTTGCTGGGCTGATTTATCTTCGATACAAACGCCCAGATATGCATCGTCCTTTCAAGGTAACCTCAGCAATCTTGATGGGTTTACATAAATCTTTCTCCTAATACCTAGTCTTCCCTTTGTCATAACTTGATGGTGAGGAGATTGGGAAGGGGGGGGAAGTGTTTTGTGGAGTATAATGTTTAACTCTTACAGGGAGTACCTCTTGTTGCACATCCCTGAGGAAAAGTCTGTCAATTTTTAAATGTGAAAGACTGAATTTTGGCACATATTTGGAAAGAGATAGTATTAAAGGAAGTTCTTGTGTTGGGTTTTCTTGAATGGCTCCAGTGCTCTGATGCGTTCAGAGTGTGGGATACCTCTATCTGTCTTCATACTAAATAGTTACGAGCAGCTGGGCTGTGAGAGAGCAGGTGCTTTATTAATTAAAACTCTGAAAAGGACGCTGCTTTACAGAACAGGTATGCTAAATACGTGTTGTGATTTGTTTACATTGTTCTTTTTTTGCACACTCTAAGAAAAAGAAATATGAGGGAGAAAGGAGTGTGCCCCAGATAAGGTGACCATTTACTCTAAGCAACATTTCCTTTTGGGAGGGCTGAAGAGCAGGCTTGCCATCTCCTCTACCTCTGATCTTCGTGGGTTGACTGGACCTCGTGATCTATTTTCTTTTAAGAAATAGCACAGATAATGCTGTCAGTCATGTTGTCAGAATGTGTTTCCAATTATATTCATTGCCTCATGCTTGCAGCATCTTTATTAGCGGTTGAATAGGAGTTGGCCTGCTTTATTCCTGTCCGGCCGTATTGTGAATCTCAACAGGAAATCAATATTCACTGAAAGGCTTTAACATGTAGTAAGCCTCCAGTGCTCTTGACGCTACAGGAAAGTGGATTCTAATCATAATTATTAAAGAACCGATCTTTTAAGATGAAAAACATAAATCATAATGGTACTTCACTAGTAACATGATTTGAATAGACCATCTCTCAGGAAACACTCTTGCTTAGCCTTAGATTTGTCTTTACTCAAAGATTTAATAACAAGGTCAGTTAAAGTTAAGAAACTATGCTTGATATGCGCTCTATGCTGCATGAAGTGATTTTGTTGCTAAGTTGGTTGTTGCCTATGACTCAGTCATGTGACTGAAGCTTCTCACATGCTCACATGACAGATGGGCTCACCATAGAATGCCCTCTATCCCTTGTCACTTGACCTTGTGTGAAGCTGTTTTCTTCTGTGCTGTGTTGCAGGTGCCACTCTTTATCCCAGCATTGTTTTCCTTTACATGCCTCTTCATGGTTGCGCTTTCCCTGTACTCAGACCCATTTAGCACTGGGATGGGCTTCCTCATCACTCTGACTGGGGTCCCTGCCTACTATCTCTTCATTATATGGGACAAGAAACCCAAGTGGTTTAGACGAATATCAGGTAAGACTTTTAAGAATTTTGGACCTGATGAGAGACTGTGTTGTAGAAACCCATGTAAGCACACATATTGCCAATGCATATCTTAAAATTTAAAGGTAGAAGTGGCACAATTGTTAGTTGAAGTTGCTGCATTTTATTTTTTAATGGTTTATTAAAATTTTATTTTTTATTGAGTTTTTGTGATTTTCATACAATATTGTTTGATGTTATTTAGACACCCTCCCATCCACCCTCTAAGTTACTGCATTTTCATTGGGACTGTGAGGAGAAAGACAGGAACAACAATAGGATACTGTCATTGAATCCTGTCAGGTGTTTTCTTTGGGCTGTTTTAATCAGTGGCATTCTTGAGACCACGTGTTGGGTAGAATTAGATCGCTTTGTAAATGACCTAACCACTCTTCTGAATCCTTTGGTAACATAATTATTGTTCTTCTGCACAGAATACAGTTTAATGACTCTATATCATAACATTGACTGGACAAATGACTTAAGATTTGTTGGGGACTTAGTGGAAGCCTGAAAATGTCTTAATTATCATGTTATAATATCTGCTTGTTAGGAATGATGAGTAACAGAGGGTTCTAATAACAGCAAAAAAAACAAAACAAAACAAACAAACAAAACAAAACACAAAAAAACAACCAACGTAGAGAAGAATAACAGCTCCCATTTACTGTGTGGGTTTTATGGGTTTGCACACACATGACTATTTTACTCCTAACTGCATTCTGAAGTAGAAAGGCCATTGCTCCCATTGTACATTTTGAGTTATGGCATGGGAGAATTCATGTCACTGGTTCCAAGTCATACAGATGTGAAATACAAGAGCTAGAACTTAAACTCGGGCAGTTTGGGTTTGAAAAAGTCATCTTGGACACTGTGAGAGTGGAGAAGAAAAGGCTGACTGAACCTGAGGACAGAGAGAGGAGTTGGGTGTTTTCTACAGAGACACCAGTGAGAGTCAAAGAAAGCCTGAATGCAGGCCTGAGAGAAGTTAAAGGTACTGTGGAGGAAACCTAGCTGAGCTTGGTGGCCAGTTAAAGTGGGAAGGAGAAAATCAATCAGATCACTAGGTTGGAAGCATGCTTTGGAATAGCCTCTGTCCCAGGGCTGTCCTGAGCTTTCCCCAGCTTCATCATCTCAGATCAATTCTCTGTAAGACCCACATGTGAGGGGTTGTTATTCCCATACAGGTGAGGAAGCCAAGGCTCAGCAAGAGGGAGAATTTATGATTGAGTATATAGAGATTTTAGTCTTACAACTGGGATTTGAACTCATACCTGTTGGATTTTGAAGATCCTTTGTGTTAGTTTTGAACTATGACAAAATATCAGACTAAAAACACCTTAAAGGGGTGGGGAGTATATTTGGCTCATGGTTTCAAAGGCTTTAGCCTATGCCTCTTCATAGTCGCACTTTGCATTTCTCAAACCCATCTAGTCCTGTGGCTGGCTTCATTTTCTCTCTGACAGGGCTGGCTCTAATAGTTTGGGGACCAGGGAGCCCCTGGTGAGGCAAAGCTTCTGGCTTCACAGTATCCAGGAAGCAGAGAGACCCACAGAGCAAGAGACCAAGCTAGAGAAATACCTTTCTAATGCACACACCAGGCATCTATTCCTTTCAAATGAGCCCAGTTTCCAGTGGCCCATTCAGTTAAAAACTCATCAGTGGATCCATTAATGAGACTTGTAGTCTAGTTATCTAGTAGCCCACAATATATGAAGGGAACCTGAGCCAAAATAATTTTTCCACCTTTAAGTTGTTTCTAATCTGATATTTTGTCATAGTGACTTGTGGTAGGAGAGAGACGTTAGGTAGAATAAAATATGTCAGAAAAGCAGACAGATATGTTCTTGCTGATATGTTTCGTCAATTTTGAATATGGACCCTCTCTGTTTGTATTTTTTTTTCTTAATTTACTTAGTTTACAGTGGTTAGTTTTGAAATCCCAGTTAAAAATCCAGGGCCCTTTATGAGGAATTTTTCAGTAGGTAATATGAGTGCTGGTAGAAAACAAAGAAGAAAAGGAGACAAAAGACATAGTGTCGGATCTCTAATACATTTCAGGAACTCATCTAGAAACCAGTCATTTAAACAGTTTTGCTACATTTCTTTATTAGCTTTTAACTGGCATTTTATATCTTCAGATAGTCTACCACTATTTCTACAGGGATTTTACTTTCTAGCTGGCAACAGTATTTCTCAAAACAATGTTGCTTGATAAGTTAGGATTTTTAAGGCTAACACAGACACACCGATTGAGCATTTACTCTCTATTTCTTATTAAAACCGCATTTACTTTTTTATAGAACATGTTTAGTTAGGTTTTCTCTGTTGGAGACACTGTCAATCTTCTGACAAGAGAGGAAGTTTTGTTAAAAATATTCATATTAGGCCAGACATGGTGGCTCACGCCTTTAATCCCAGCACTCAAGAGGCAGAGGCAGGCGGGATCTCTGTGAGTTCAAGGCCAGCCTGGTCTACATGGTGAGTTCCAGGCCAGCTGGGGCTACAGGGAGACCCTGTCTCAAA